AATGAATGTCATAATCAAAGCTAAAGGCAGTCCAACAAAATATTAGTGTGTCACCTATTTTTTGGTGGCGACTTTTTTTTTGGCCAGGCAGTGTATATCCCAAGTGTAAAAGATCTCAGATGTAATCTGAGTTTGTGAAGCAGAGAAACGATGTGTGGTTTTAATAACCTGTTCACAAACATTTGAAAGTTTAACCTCTGCCAGCCATCATCTTAGACTCCATCCATCCATTATCTTTACCCCCTTCATCCTTTTTGGGTCGCGGGGGTCGCTGGTGCCCATGTCTAGCCATCACTGTGCGAGGGGCGGGGTACACACTGGACAGGTCGCAAGTCCATCACAGGGACACATAGAGACAAACGAGACAACGAACCATTCTCTCTCTCACTCACAGCTAGGGACAATTTAGATTTATCAATCAGTTTAACATGCATGTTTTTGGTCTGTGGGAGGAAACCGGAGTACCCGGAGAAAACCCACACATGCACGGAGAGAACATGAAAACTCCACCCAGAAAGGCTCTGGGACTGGGATTTGAACCAAGGTAACCTGCTCGCGGAGAGGCAGCAGCTCTACCAACTGCACCACTGTGCTGCCCCCCATCTTAGACTCCAATGATTCTTAGGCTCATTGACTCTTATAAACTAGATGTCTTTTATACATTAAAAGGTGAGATTAGAAAAGAAGAAGTCCTCACAGATATAAATCTGCCAAATAGTGGCAAATCTCCAGGTCCAGATGGTTTACCAGCAGAGATTTATAAACTTTGTTTTATTGTTGTCATTGATCTTTAAACTCCTGTTTTTAATACTTGGTTAAAGCGTTCTTTAACCCAGTGAATCAGTAAGGGATTACCGTATCATATATATGAGGATAATCATAGGTGAATCATTAAAAAAATATAATAAAACTGTACTGAAAGAGAGTAGACTTGCCACATTTGCATGTTTTGTGATGTTTGCGTCTATGTGTGATTATTTTTATGTAGTTCTCTGAGTCTGTTTTTCCTGTGTTTCCAGTTTCCCCAGTGTTTCTCACCTCATGTAGTCAGTTCCTGCCACTATCACCTGATCCTCATTGTCTTTCCCCAGGTGTTTGTCATTGGGTCTCATTAATGTCCGTTTAAGTTCAGCATCTCTGTCTTTCCACGGTGTCCATAGATTGTGTTTCCCAGTCGTCGTGTTTGGCCCCCCTCATTCCTCCCCGTGTCCTTAGTTTTTATAAGTTTACACTGCCACGTCAGCTTTTTGATTTTGCATTCTGAAGTTTAATAAATAAGTTATTTATTTTATCCCTGAGTTTCCCCAAGTTCTGTCTGCATCTGGATTCATCACTATGCTGATTGTGACAGCATTTCCTTTTTTCCCATGACTCTTGATAACTCTGTCATGTAAAACTGACAAGCAGTTTAAGTATTAATATACATTTGGAGATTAGAGAGGTTTTTAGGCAGCAGTTATGTACTCCATCTGGCTGTAAGTCTGTCTGTTTTGCATGAACTACTTTCTTCCTCTTCAAAGTGAGGTGATTCAAAGAGCTTCCAGCAGGTAAGACAATACTGCTCATAACCTGTCTCACTACACCGTCTCACAGAACGCTGCTCTCATAAGCTCAAACTATTTTTTTAAAATAGAGAATAGATTACCTCGGGCCTTTTCAACTCTTGATATGGAGCTCTGACCCTCCTCCTCAGGCGGTTTCACAACAATTCCCACCATAAAACACTTCACGTGTTGATCTACTGTAGTCTAAAGAAGCATCTTCATGAAACACACACACACCCAAACAAAACATCTTTTGTGCAAACTGTGAGTATTGCTTTTTAATACAGCTGTGGTCTAGTGGCAGGGCAGTCATGTTGGGACTGGAAAATCGCAGGTTTGATTCCCTGCCATATGTCACTGTGTCCTTGAGTAAGATGCCTGTTCCCCAGCTGCTCCCTGGAAGTTTAAATAGCTGCCCAATGCTCCACTTGGGTGTATCTCACATGTGTGATGGGTCAAATGCAGAGCACACATTTGATGGATACATGCATTAATGACAATACTTAGTACTTTCTCTTTTGCTTTGTCTGTGAAACGTTCACTGATCTAATTTGTCTTGTCAATCCCACCCCTCACTTCACTTCACACACTTACAAACAAAGCGTTATGTATTTTGGCAATAAGTTGTTTAGTGGTACTACTGGTATTTTGTGTGCCAGATGCAAGAACACCAAATGTAGTGTATGTGTGCATTGATCTGCCTGTGTTCTTCAGCAAATGTTCAATAAAGTAATTAATGTTTATTTGAAGGTCCCATTGTGTTTAAAATAATTAAGTTATGCAGAGAGAACACAACACAAAGGAAGGAACTTAAATGTGAATGAACTCTAAGCTGCAGACTTTATTCTTTCATTTCTTGTATCAAACAACTTGAGACACTTAAATGCTGTTTTTTTAATGCTTTGTTGTCTCAAATGAAAAGGATCATAGGAACACAGGGGTTGTCAGAACTCCCATTTCTTAAAAAAATTAAAAATCTGTTTTGTCCCTGCTGAGTGCCAGTAGGTTTTAACTGATCACATAGCAGTGAGCTGCTATGGTGAACTAACTTTGTTTGTTATTTATAAAAGGAATATAGTCTAAAACTCCTATATTCTAATGATCAGATCGTTGGTCGAACCTCAGATCCAGGAGGAACAATGCAGGTTCCGTCCTGGCTGTGGAACACCAGATCAGCTCTTTACCCTCACTAGGATCCTCGAGGGGTCGTGGAAGTTTGCCCATCCAGTCTACATGGGTTTTGTGGACTTGGAGAAGGCTTTTGACCGTGCTCCTCAAGGTAAAGTTTGGGGGGTGCTCTGTGAGAATGGGATTGGGGGGCCTTTGTCATGGGCTGTTCAGTCCCTATACAAGTGGTGTAAGAGTTCAGTTCGCATTGCCGGTAGTAAGTCAGATCTCTTCAGGTTGGGAGTTGGTCTCCATCAGGGCTGCTCGTTGTCACCCATTCTGTTCATAACGTTTATAGACAGAATTTCTCGATGCAACTAGCGGGCAGAGGGATTGCGGTTCCATCTCTGCTCTTTACAGATGATGTGGTCCTATTGGTGTCATCGTGCCGTGATTGTCAGCTCTCACTGGAGCGACTTGCAGTCGAGTGTGAAGTGGCTGGGATGAGAATCGGCACCTCCAAATCTCAGGCCGTGGTCCTCAGTCGGAACCAGGTGGATTGCTCTCTTCGGATCAAGGGTGAGGTTCTGCCTCAAGTGGAGGAGTTCAAGTATCTTGGGGTTTTATTCACAAGTGAGGAAAGAAAGGAGTGTGAGATTGACAGATGGATTGGTGCAGTGCCTGCAGTATTGCGGACTCTGTACAGGTCAGTTGTGATGAAAAGCTGAGCCGTAAAGCAAAGCTCTCCGTTTACCAGTTGGTCTATGTTCCTACCCTCACCTATGGCCACGAGCTCTGGGTAGTGACTGAAAGAATGAGATTACGGAAACAAGCGGATGAAATTAGTTTCCTCCGCAGAGTAGCTGGACTCTCCCTTAGAGATAGGGTGAGAGGTTCAGTTATCCGGGAGAGATTCAGAGTAGAACCAGCAGTGGTTCGGGCATTTGGTAAGGATGCTTCCTGGGCGCCTCCCTTGGGAGGTGCTTCGGGCATGTCCGACTGGGAGGAGACCCCGGGGAAGATCCAGGACACGGTGGAGAGACTATGTTTTTCGGTTGGACTGGAAACACCTTGGAATCCTCCCAGAAGAGCTGGAAGAGGTGGCTGTGGAAAGAGAAGTCTGGGCCTCCCTGCTCAAGCTGCTGCCCCTGTGACTCGACTTCGAAAATAGTGGAAGATAATGGATGGATGGATGAAATATAGTCTAAATCAAGGCACACGTCTTTACTGTAACTTGAGAATAAAATGTGAGTAAAGTTAGTGACCACTATATTGCTGTGTTAACATCTTTTTAGGAGGAAAGCAAGTTACAACAAAACATTTCACATTTTCTTCAGTGTGGTAACATATTTGACTCTCTGTTACAATAAATTCCAGAAATTTTGTGTTTCTTTGAGTTTTGGTATGAATTTGATTGAAAATCCTCAGCACATCAGGCCAGTGTTAGCTTTGGGAGTGCCAGTGAACTGTTTTAGTGCATGCCACCAAAGAAATACGATGCATGATGAATCTCACAAGAGTCAAAACAAATATTTATATGGAAAGCCATGTCATAGACCGAGAGTAATGAAAAAAATGACTATCAGGATCATTTTAGTTTTGGATTAGAGGTCAGCCATGGGTTGGTCAAATGTTAGTCTGAGCATGAGAACGTTTTTAGTAATGTTTAAGAAAATTTTAGAGTTTCACAAAACCAGCTGATCACAACAAGTAGGTTAATCCATTTACCTCATGCAGATAAACTTTTATAAACCCATTTCTCTGTCATACCTTAGGGAAAAGTAAGAAATTAATTAAAACACCAGCCTTTTTACTACAAATAAAGGTATATATACTGTTTGTTTTCCCTTTTCTAACAAATGCATAAATATATTTACTGAATGGACAACTTCAAAAACATTTTTTGAATTGTGATTATGGCAAGAACCAAAACATTTATCATTAACTAGCCTCAATGCAGCAAGCTGTCGAAATACTAAAGTATCTAAAGGTAAAGCAAGATCAAAGGAAACAAATCAGTCATGCTATGCTAACAAGGCAGATAAAAGATGCAATACAATACAATACAATAAAGGTTTTTGTAGCCTTAACAATCAGGTTAATAATTAATGCCAGCTTTATCTTGTTATCAAGCAATAAACAGTTAGGACTGGTGAAGCTGTAGTGTTGTAGGTATAAAACGTTCAAAAACAGAGAAGTATGAATACAACACAAAAAGTTGACATTTAAGAACATCAATGTTTTGTGCCTTTTTTTTTTTTTTTTTTGTAAAAGCAAGCTGGAAATGGCTGCTAACAGGCTTGTGTGGATAAAAGCAAGGAAGGACATTTTGACACAAAGCTTACTCACTTAATGATGCTGGGGGGAATGTGGACGTACTCCATTGGAATTAACTCTCCAAGCTCCTTTAAGCTGTTCACATACTTGATTTTGCTGCTGAACTTTGAACTGTGTAAAACAGAAACCAGGAAGGTGATGAGATGTGTTCTTGAGATGTATGTGATACGGTTGTTCATCATAAAATAGATCTCAAATAGATCTGTCATATTCTGTCAAATAGTTAAAATAGTAACTTATCAGTCTGACAAAGAGCACAGAGTATAGTGGCAAAGAATTATTGAGAAAAGCACTGTCATTAAACATACTGAAGCTTGTCCTTTCCGTCCATCCATCCATCCTTCCATCCATACATCCTTCCATCCATCCATTAACTTTTACCCGCTTCTTCCATTTTGGGTCACGGGGGTCGCCAGTGCCCATGTCCAGCAATCACTATGCGAGGGGCGGGGCACATCTTGGACAGGTCTCCAGTCCATTACAGGGCCACATAGAGACAAACGAGACAAACAACCATTCACTCTCTCACTCACACCTAGGGACAATTTAGAGTTACCAATCAGCCTAACATATATGTTTTTGGTCTGTGGGAGGAAACCGGAATACCCGGAGAAAACCCACACATGCACGGAGAGAACATGCAAACTTGACCCAGAAAGGCCCCTGGACCAGGATATGAACCAGGGACCTGCTTGCTGAGAGGCAGCAGCTCTAAGAGTTGCGCCATAGTGCTGCTTGTCCTTTCCTAAATTCCTTATTCAATATTTTATGCATTTAATGTCTTGAGTTGGACTCCGCCAGGGCTGCCTGTTGTCACCGATCCTGTTCATAACTTTTGTCGACAGAATTTCTCGGTGCAGCCAGGGGGTTAGGGTTAGGCTGCCGTGGTCTTCAGCTCTTACTGGAGTGGTTCGTGGCCAAGTGTAAAATGGCTGGGATGAGAATCAGCACCTCCAAATCTGAGGCCATGGTCCTCAGTCAGAAAAGGGTGGATTGCTCTCTTCAGGTTGAGGGTGAGGTTCTGCCTCATGTGGAGGAGTTCAAGTATCTCAGCGTTTTGTTCATGAGTGAGGGAAGAATGGAGCGTGAGATTGACAGATGGATTGATACAGTGTTTGCAGTATTGCGGACTCTGTACTGGTCCGTTGTAGTGAAGAGGGAGCTGAGCTGTAAGGCAAAGTCCTCTGTTTACTGGTCGGTCTACGTTTCTACCCTCACCTATGGCCACGAACTCTGGACAGTGACCGAAAGAATGAGATTGCGCATACAGAAAGTCGAAATGAGTTTCCTCTGCAGGGTAGCTGGACTCTCCCTTAGAGATATTGAAGTTTAGTTACTGTATCTGGGACAGACTTTGAGTAGAACTGTTGTTCCTCCACATCGAGAGGAACCAGTTGAGGTGGTTCGGGCATCTGGTAAGGATGCTTCTTGGGTGCCTCCCTAGGGAGGTGCTTTAGGCATGTCTGACTGAAAGGAGACCCCGGGAAAGACCTAGGACATGCTAGAGAGACTATGTCTCTCGGTTATAATGGGAATGCCTTGAAGTCCTCCCAGAAGAGCTGGAAGAGGTGGCTGTGGAAAAAGATGTCTGGGCCTTCCTGCTCAAGTTGCTGCCTCACAACCTGACTTCAGAACAAGTGGAAGATAATGAATGGATGGATGGATGGAACCTCCTAAGACCTTGTATCCTTATGTTTGGGTCATTGGTTTTAGACCAGCTGTCCTTATTAAGGTAGATTTTTTTTTTAATTTCTAATAAAATATATATTTATTACTTGTTTACTAGTACTTGTTAAAAACAATGATTTTGTGCTATGTTTTTGAGATACTACTATTCCTAAAGAGCTAAGGGAAATTAAAAAATGCACACCTAGCAAACAGTTGGGACAAGATACAGTATAAAGTTGTGTGGCCAAGGAGAGCCCCAGTGGGGGACACCACTTTTTGTATGTGTGTGGGGGTGGGGGGGACGGACAGCCATTTACCCCCCACTCCCCAACTTCCCCTTGGCTGCACCACTGCTGACTAGATTTGCTGTTCAGGCAAACTGATACAGTCAGTAATGTCAGGACACCATCATTTACATGCCCAGCGCACAGACATTTGCATAGAAACGTGAATGTAGTTTGGCTACGAAAACTAACTACCGGTAAACAAACGGTCATTCATATGTGTAGAGGTTTACTATTAGCTAATGTAGCATATTTTCCACCATTATTATATTTATCAGAGAGATGTTTTATGAGTCAGAAGAATGATATAAAAACGGGAATTTGACTGGTTTGCTATTAGCCCAGCCTGAAGTCATGGTCAACAAGGTACTAACTATTGAAAACTATTTGATGGAGCATTACTTCAGAAGGGACAGGAGCGTTCCTGTGAGTCATGAGGACGTTTTAAAAGTACGTTATGTGTTGTTTGGACGGTTTTTAATGATCTGCTGAGTTATCTACAATTAAAATACCTTATAAAGGGCCTGGTGATTCCCAGCAAAGTTCGGACAAACCAGGAAGGGTGAACAATGAAGAACATCTTTAGATTTTTCTTCAGCCTGTGTAGGACAAAAACAGAGACAGAAGTGGAGTAAATTATTTATGGAAGTTTATGATCACTTTCAAACTCATTTTTACTTAGCTTAACCGACAGGTAGGATGGATAAAAAAAAAAAATAGCACTAGGAACAGCAATACAATGTACATATAGGTTATGTATAGCATGTATGTGTTTTCGTGAGTTCAGGTTCAATATTTTCAATGTGACCTGAATTGTTGTGTAGTGCTGTCACATTACATCAAGGAGGTAACCAATTTACTCAGTTTTTCAAACCCATGTTGTTGTTTTTTTGTTCATGAGATTCAACTCCATGCGACCCAAAAAAGGAAGAAGAGAGTAAAGATGGATGGATGGATGGAGATTCAACTCCAGTTTAAACCAAGTGTGAAAATCAAATTGTACTCCTGACAGTTCTGCACCCTAAATATTTTAAATGATTATTAAGTGTTTAACTATTTCAAAACCATCCTGACATAATTTATAAGATAAATGGCGCACACTGATACAAATGAAGTAATTTTACTTAATCAAAAACATTTAGATCTCTAGAGATAAAAGTTTATCAAAAGATCTTTGTGTTTATTGTGAGGTCTCTTGTGTAAATGTTACCTTCGATCAATCATCTGGTAGCATCTTTTCATCCAGCTAAACCCGGGCATTCTTCTACGAGGCGTGGCACCATTGAGGTACACAATCATGTAATCCTCTGCCACCATTAGTTCCAAGGTACTAATTACATACCTAAACATGGGATCAGATGACACCAGTTATTTATCAAACTGGCCAACCAGTTTTTTTTCTATTTCAGCACAACAATGTGTTCAAAGTTCACATTTAAATTGTGCTGCTTAGATTTTGGGTTATGTGTCAACTGGACTTTATACAAATGTGAATGCTGCCAGGACTTTTTGTCCTGTATGTCCACATGGGGCTACAGAAGTGCTTCACTTACAGAAAAAGGTTTTCCATCACATAATTGTAACTTTCACAGTCGCTGTCAGGCAGGAAACATGCTGCAAACACAATGATGGCATTTTTTTCAGCATAGTAACCTGAAAACATAAAACACAGGCAGAAAGAGGACATTGTCCCTGAGAGTTAAAGGGATAGAGGACCTGAACGCAACACAATTTTAAGCATTTCTGTTTGTGTACCTCCGTGAGATATGACTCTTTTGTATGGCTCAATGCACTTCATATCGATCCGATGCTCCTGCTCTCCGATCACCACGCTCCTCCACAGTCTTTTGTCTCCTCTCTCTTCTGCTCGATGACCTGCTGTAGCACCACCTGATGCTGCTCCTTCACCTAGATTAGACTCGTCTGAGTCTGCTGTTCGAGGCATTAATGAGAAGTTTAACAGAATGTTGGAAACAACTAAACAAATCTTGATATACTTGTTTTTAGGAGAAGGCAGTGGGGAGAGCAGCGAACAAATTGGGCTTGCACAAAAAAAGTTCATTACTCTTATTCTCAGGTCACTTTACCTCATAGGATTCAGTTAAAATATGCTGATGGGGGTAAATTAAATGTCCAGCAATGCATTGATAACTGTGCATACTGTGCCATCTGCTGTCAAGCATGAGCGTACAATACAGTATCTATGTCTACATGTCTTCTTTTTTGTGTTTATTAAGTTCATTGTAATCGTGTGTCTGCATCTGTCCAATTTTTTTAGAAAAAAATCAGCACTTGTGTTCGGTCTCCAGGTTTGTGTCTTACCATGCCCATTAAACTCCAGAGAGTCTGTCTCGTCAGGCGTGTCAATCCCATCAACACTAACATCCAGGTCATCCCCAGTGTCCAAGGCATCATCCTCTGTGTCTAGAGCATCTTCTGAAAGAAGAGACCCCTCACTGTGCTCCAATGACACATTCATTGGTGGAGCTGACAGCTTTCTCCTTCCATTGGATCCAGCTGATGTGTCTGCTGAAGATGGTGGGTCTGTTTAAAGCGACAGAGCAAGTGTACTTAATGTGCGGGGTACAGTATCAGCACAAAACAGCAACGGCTCTCAAAAACAAGACAACATAAAACAACAACAAAACAGACATTACAATAATCATTTGGCCCTTTTGTGAGATGACACCTTATTAAGATGGAGGACTTTGAGGGACTCAAAGCAAACTGATCCTGTTGTAGGTGCCACACCACCCTTGAATCAATAACCATTTTGTTGGATTGATCAAGAAATCTAGATATCTCAATCACTTTTGAGCGCCAAGACCTCACCCTGGATCTAAACCTGCAACAGAAGCTCATCAGCAAGTGTCTGATGGCTGGGTCGTACTCATGGGGTTTAGTCTAATGCAGAGGACTTGGGTATTCAATCCTTGGTAGCTAAATTCTGTACTAGAATCACTGAACATGACTTTAGTGATAGGAAAGAACCCCAGCTTGTCTGCAAGGCTGACGGACACAGACTAGAAGTAGTTGGTTTTCCCTTCAGTGCTCAGTGTGGCTTCTTCACTAAACTCCTTGATCAGGCCTGGACTTTGTTTGGATTCAGTCTGTGTTGGAGGAAAGACAGGAGAAGACCTTAAACCTGACTTCAGGTTGCAGATACCAAACACTGGAGTTCTCCTCGAGAAAAGCAGAGGGTTGCTACAGTCCAGGTGCATCCCACCATAAACTCCTCCCACAATCCTGGCGTGGTCTGTGATTATTGTTTTTTTTTTAATCTGACTGACTTTACAGAGGAAGTTAAAGCAGTGTTCAATCCTGGACATTAGAGATCAGTGTCCTATTGTTATTCTGCTTCACCAAACTTAATATGAACTGCTGGGTCAGGCTTCTGCAGAACTCGATGACAAGTTGACGTATTCCTTTGGATCAGATGTGTTGATGCTGGGACACACCTAAAGCATGAAGGGAGTGTCTTGAGGACCTGGGTTAAGAAACACAAGATCTCAGAAGAAAAAGGGGTTCCCCAAGAGTTCCCTAATACCCTGGATGTTTGTGGTCTCAACAGAACCTTAAGACTGGCAAACCAGAGGTCACGTTCCAACTACAGGTGGGTCACATTTTAAAGCCTCAATTGGAAAATCTATTCCAGGGTACCTGAGGGAAGGGCTTCCGAATACATATTTTTTAATGTGGTAGATCATCAATAAAGGAAGAGCTCCAAAAACCTCAGCATAAAAAAATAAAAACAGAAATAAATATTTTGCAACATTTGACAAAAATACATGACAGAAAAGACAAACCCATACTTTAGGTAATAACCTGACAACTTTATGTTTTATGTCTTTGAAATGATGCTTTTTATGAAAAACTGTGCAGTTTACCAAGTTTGATTTGTGCAACAGATCATGTGCATCTTTCAGCAAGTCATCCCTCTGATAAATTTCTTTAATCTTCGTGCTAAACAATTAGTTGACAGAATACAATGAAACGATATATAAAATGTAAAACAAAAAAAGTGACATTTGCTAACGTTTTAAATAAAGACAGAAATACAAACTTTATCGCTGATTATTTACCTTCTCTGTTATCCAGCTCCTCAGCAGCTTCCTCACTGGAGGCCATCTTCATCATCATCATCCCTGCTGCATCGACTCCCTGCTGGGAGTTTCTGTTCAAAGGGACAGAAATACAGTAATGAGCTACTACATAAACTATCATTGCTATAACCAGTGCTACTAGAGGCACAATTACACAGAGTACTGGGCCAAACAAGCCAAAGACAATCATCTATCTACAACAGAAAAGAACTGAGGTGTTCCCATGACACTGAATCAGAAAGAGTTAAACATCGAAGCGTCAGACAAGAGATGCAAAGAATCACACAGGGACAAAGCAGATGAAGAGAAACGGACTCAATCCTCATTCCCAGGCTGCACGTGTGGGCTGACACAATACTGAGCTCTGTTGTCCCTTCCCTCCACCCAGAGCCCCCTAACAGATTCTGATTAACATAAAGCCTTCCAACAATAGAGGAAAAGCAGCACAGAGACTAGCATACGCTTGTAGAATACGCACATGAGCATTTTACCTTTTTCTAAAATTCTTGGGCTCCTACCTTTCCCTCACTTACCAAGAACCAGAGGCCCAACCAGTCTTTCCACAATCAGTCACAGGATGAGTTAATTGTGGAAGGGGTTTATTGTGTGAGTAAGCAAGCGTGCACGCTTAAACACACACACTCAGAAGGATGAACAGGGGAGGGACACGGGTCCCAAAGAGGGGGCGGGTCATCATGACAGAAAAGTGAAGCAAAATGAGCACAATACTACAACAGCTGATGGAAATATGTACTGTCCTGTGGAGACAAATACAACAAGTAAAATTCTCTCATGGCCACAAAGCACCTGAGGTGAGCTATGTTAGTAACATTCACATTTGTCCACATGTCAGCTATAGGCAGAAGAGTTTTAAGGACCAGACTGGACAAGAAAAATAATGTTTTTAGTGCAGGTGTGGGCAAGTGAATGTTTAAGATGAACCCGAAAAGGTGCAAAGTTGACCTGAAAGGTGAATACTCTATACACTCCATGAACCTCTTTACATTTAAAATTGACAAAAAATAACCTCAGGTGTGTCATTTCAGTGCATCTATTTTTGTAAAGCACTGTACATAACAAAAACTTTAAAATCTGACAAAAATAAAAGTACATCCCTGTGATGGACTGTTGACCTGTCCAGGGTGTACCCCGCCTCTCGCACAGTGACTGCTGGATATGGGCACCAGTGACCCCAGTGACACAGAAAGGAAGAAGCAGGTAAAGATAATGAATGGATGGATGGATAAAAAAAAAAAACCAGTCAAAGGATTAAACACAATTTTTTTTCATGTACATTTTACTTGTGCTTAAAATCAAGATTGCACATCTTCCAGTCATTGACATTTATCCCTCTCAGTTTTACTTTAAACTAAAAAGCAACCTCCAATAATCCTATCTTACATTTGGAATAAGCAGTCGAATAAAAGAGGTCCTAATGACAGTGTTTAGGCAAAATAAGCGTATAAAGTGGATGGAGTTTTGCAGACTTTAGCAGCAGTTTTCATGTTTAGATGATTAGAAAATTGATAAGCATATATTTATCAGTTGTATTATTACTGTGCAAAACTTGGTCTGAATGAGGAAAAAACTCACCTTGAATGGAGAAAGTAAACATATTCCTCTGGCACATATCGTGCATGGTCTTCTGTCTTGGGGTGAGCATCTGATTGGTGGAACGGTTCTCCATCGTGCTGATAATGAACATATTCTGAATCATAATGACTCTGTTCATCAGCTCGATGCTGGGAATACTGGAGTTCAGACGTGCATGCAGAGTCATCCTCATACAAGTTTTCAGCTGCATGCTGACACTTTACATGTGCATCATCCGGGCTGTGATGGGCATTAGACCCAGTTTCAAACTGGTTCTCACTTTGCTCAGGGCTGAAATGTTTAACTAAGGCATCGGTTGTGAGCTCAGCATACACCTCTGTGGTGTGCTGATTCTCAGATTTAGGGTCTGCGCAGGCTTGAGAAGCACTCTGGTTTTCAGTTCTTTGATCGATGTGGTGGAAGTTGTAGCCATATTTGGTCTGACCCTGAGTCGTGTTCTGATATGCAGCATTTTCATTGGTCGGCTGAGATGACAGCTGTGACGTTACATCTTGGTGTCTTCTGTTACAGGAACAAGATCTTGGATCAGTACAAATACATGAAACACAACAGTACTCAACCATATATGACATTTTTGGTAATGCTTCAATGTATCTGTATCAAACACACATGCCAGCTCTAACAATAAATATGTCCCTATTAGAACATTTTTACTCAAAATATCAGTTCTTGCAAAGTTTTTTCAATTTGTTCACATTTGTTAATAATGGCTACATTTTAATGATAAAAAATGTCTTGAATGTAAGTTAAATGCCATTTGGGGATCACTTGGACACTAAATGAATAGAACAAGTATTATCAACTGTTAACTGTTGTGACAAGTCAAAACTTTCCACTATGTAAATGCTGTGTGGTGTATTCAAATGTTCAGAGTTTCACAGGATCATCACCAACGGCAACAAAAAACAACAACTATTTTGCATGTGCGTCTTTTTCTGCTCTCCTCCACAAATGCAAGGACATACACGCATCACAGGACTCACAAAATTATTTCAACGAGTCACAGTCGGCAGTAATGTGAAACACAAAAAAGACCCAGAGAAGTCAAAGAGAAAGCTCAAGCTCCACTAGAAAGACAAATATCTGGCTCTCAATTCTTTATTTTGAACTTCCTGTTATTCACTTCTTTTCAGTTTTGCTTACTGTAATTCTAAATTGATTCTGATATTTTTATAGATACTCCAGTTTTTAAACAATAGAGTAGAGAGGCACGAGGAGGCTTTACTAATAGCTCTGCATATAAGTAAAGCTTAGATCAAGGCAACTAGTAAAATCTGCCTAAAACACATGTACCATTCACTCAGAAATAACAAACTGTATCTTTACTAATGCTAACTAAAACCATGTAAATAAGTTATTCTATGTTGTAGGTGGGGGCAGCACGGTGGCGCAACTGGTAGAGCTGCTGCCTTTCAGCGAGAAGGTCCCTGGTTCAAATCCCGGTCTGGGAGCCCTTCTGGGTGGAGTTTGCATGTTGTCTCCGTGCATGCGTGGGGTTTCTCCGGGTGCTCCGGTTTCCTCCCACAGACCAAAAACATGCATGTTAGGCTGATTGGTAACTCTAAATTGTCCCTAGGTGTGAGTGAGAAAGTGAATGGTTGTTTGTCTCGTTTGTCTCTATGTGTCCCTGTGATGGACTTGCGACCCGTCCAGGGTGTACCCCGCCCCTCACACAGTGATTGCTGGACATGGGCACCGGTGACCACCGTGACCCAAAATGGAAGAAGCGGGTAAAAGATAATGGATGGATGGATGTTGTGGGTGATATTACCAGTACAGACGCTCCCAAAGCTGCACTCACACACCCACACCTTGTTAGAAAAATATGTGTGTGTGTGTGGTGGGGTGACATTAGCTGTGGTGTGACTCCAGTTGTAATGAGGCAGGTAATGCATATTTAATGAGGCGTAAACAGATTCATAAGAACACACACAGAGCTGCGATCAAATCTTGAAGCTAATGGTCTTCTGACAGACTCCAATGAGAAAACTTAAAAACCCCAGTGGACAAATTGGAGAATAGGAGGGGAGGTGTGAAAGGTGTGTGAGTAAGTGTGTGTGTTGTTACCAGCTGGAAAATAGAGGTTTTATGAACAGCGAGTACAGTAGTCCCTCGCTACTTTGCCGTTCGATTTTCGCGGACTTGCTCTTTTGTGGTTTTTCAACGATTGTCAACTTTAATATTACTCACGTGATTGGGACGGTATGAGATAAAAAGTTAACAAAAAATAAATACTTCGGACATTTTCTAGTTTTCTTTTCAATAATCTGTAAGGCTAGTAAAAAAGAACTACACTACCCAGAAGCCAACAGTGCACTACCCAGAAGCCAACAGTGCTTCTGGCTGCTGCTTTCTGCCAAAATGGAGGGAAAGTTTTGCAACACAAAGGTAGAAGTAATGATCTAAATATTACGCTCACAAAACTGGCAGGAAAGTCCCAAATAATCCTGAAGCTTCCTGAAGCTCAATTATCCACGTGCACATCAACCTGGACAGGGCAGTGG